TACATGGTAGCTTGCAGTCTACTATAACTCCAGTCCCAGATAATTCTTGGAACTTCTGCCCTCCATAGGCGTCAGCATGCACAAATTGTACATACATGCATACATACATACATACATACATACATACATACATACCCACATGGTAGCTTGCAGTCTACTGTAACTCCAGTCCCAGATAATTCTTGGAACTTCTGCCCTCCATAGGCATCAGCATGCACAAATTGTACATACATGCATACATACATACATACATATATACATACATACAAAACAATCATAGACAGAAAATAAAACTAAATCTCTTTTTAATAAGTATTTTCCTTTAATGTACCAGAATAACTACAACCAGCTCACTTCATTCCTTATTATGCCTACAACCGAAATGTCTTGTATCTTTACTTTCTGAGGAATTAACAATTTCGGGTTTGATAAATAGTTGGTAAAGACATCTAATTATTAAATTATCGAGTGGTAAACACTTAGCCAATTCCCAGTCTTCCACTTTATTCTGAGGTATGCACATTCCTCTTTCATTACCAGGAAATTATTGTTTTGCATGATTGATTTTAGTTAATATTAAAATTCATGTATATGTAACTCAGTACTTCTAGAAAAGTCAAATATAATTCACAAGTAGCACTATAAAAGAAAACCATCACAAAACCTTTTATCTTAAGCATAGTCCATTAACACTACAACACAGTAATTGGGTCCTATATAAATGGTATCCATAGTTTTTAAATCAGTATTTATTTCAAAGGATACATTTAGTTCAGTTACTTTATAAGATATTTTTGCTGTTAGCCGGCATCATATAAGCAAAAAAAAAAAAAATGGTGTAATTTAGCTTAACATATGCTAGAAAATTACTCTCCCTATTCTGAGGTTTAAAATCACTGACAATCAATAGGTACCTGTTGGGTTCATGGGACACTGAAATGAATATAAATGAATATGACTATGCTATGCAAGTCATACACTTCAGAACTCAATAAATGATTTAATCATGCGAAACTAATCACCAGGTATAAAGATAAGAACCTGTGCTGAATTATGAACCACTTATGATGTGAAAGCAGAACTAAAATGAAAAATACTGTAAAGTCCAGGAATGGCATGCACATTGTGGGCTATACTTTCCACTAATCTCTATATAGTAACCCACTTAACTAATACTGTAGAGCACATTAAATAATATTGTCTTTATTTGTTGCATATTTGTGAGCATTACTGAGCAGTGGTTCTACCTACAGGTATTCATAGTTAAATACAAAACTAATGGCCCGGAGAGGATCCTCTAACTGTATAGTTAGGAAAACACAAGATAGTATATTATGATATTTGTTATGAAAATAATATGAATGTTTATAGTAAAAAGATGGGTCTACTTGGATTAAAATAATGCTAATAATTTTGAAAATTTTATTTCCTCTGAAACCACAAAGAGCTCATCAGTCATGCTAAGAATCAAAAGATTATTCCAGGAAAAGAGTGGCAAAGATCTGCAGAATTATGATGAAGCAGGGCCTCATGTTTTTGTAAAACCAAAAAATAGCTCACTGACACTAAGCAGTGGTGAGCAGCCTGCTAAGTTATTTGTAGCAAATTAGAGGAACACAAACAATGTCAATGGAAGCTGGTTAAGGAACTAATAGGTTATTCTAGAGAGAAAATGATGATGCCAAAATCTACAGATAAAATAGTCTTAACTGAGTAATGTATAAATTAGAGACAAACGGAACATAGTATCTATGGGATATGGAACTACTTTGGCATCCTAATGTTTCTATTTTTTTTATGTACTTGAGTATTTTGCACGTACATGAGTGTGTGTGTGTGTGTGTGTGTGTGTGTGTGTGTGTGTGTGCGTGTGTTATACATATTGCATCTGTGCACCACACACATACCTGGTGCCACAGAGGACAGAAGAGGGCAATGCATTCCCTGGGACTGGAGTAACAGAAGGTTGTGCACCTTCTATGGGTGCTGGGAAATAAATCAAGATCATCTGGAAGATCAGTCAGTGCTCTTAACTGCTGAGCTCTCTCCAGCCCTGCTACCCAACCATTTTACTGAACAAATGTGTCTTGAGAATTCATCTATTAGTATATAATTATGAAGGATATTCAAGGACACTGTTAAAGAAGGAAAGAATTGATACAAATTGAAAAAATTGATACAAATTTGTTTTTTATAGGATTCAAAATTATATAATCCTAAAAGTATACAAAATGTCAAATATAGTGTGAGTGCTGAAATCTTGGATTGTGTTTGTTTACTTGTATGGTTTTCCTAAGAATCTCAGCTTGTTTCATGTGTAAATATATGAATGATATAGTGAGAAAAAATGTGAATATTTTTGTTACTTAAGGTATCAAGTTACATGAGATATATAAAATAGAAGTCATTAAAATTTAAAGAATATATGATATATTAGATAATATAAAATTAGATGATACTGTATGTTTTAATGTCTCAGCCCTAAGTAATTAATATGAGCTTTTTAAGTTTTAAATGTGACTAGAGAGTTGCTCAGTGAGTAAAATTGTTGCATAAGCTTGAAGATGGTAGTTTTGAACTCCAGCTCTCCCATGAAAGCTGGTTATGGACATTCACATCTGTAATCCTAATTTTGTAGGAGAGGAGTGAAAAGGAACTCAGGAGGTCACTAGCCAGCCAGTCTGGCTGAAAGGATGAGCTCCACCTTCTATGAGACACTCTGTCTCAAAACAAGAGAGGGATATAGAAGAAAACACACAACCATTTATCCTCAAGTTCTTCTTGATTACTCAGGATAAATGCAAAGGTAGCCAGGGGCACCTGGAGAAACAGGTGCTTGTTCTCCACACACATGCACATACATGATCAGGTGCAAATACACACCCGTTACAAACATTTACCCCCCTACATACACAAAATTTAACTTCATAATCAGTGGATATCTATAATTCAAATCAATATTTGAACAGAAGTAACAACCTAAGAATGGTTACCACATATCTAATTTATCTTCTAATATCCCTGAGTAAAAATATGTCATTTAGTTAAACAATACTGTTATGTTACTCTCGTTATTTACCATCTGCACTCATGGAACACCAAATAATTGTCATTAACATAATCGAGTTTGATCTACATTTCAATATGACTTCAATAGCAGAAATCAGTTCGTTATAAGGATACTGTTCAAAGAGAAATGATAATTTACTATAAGAGGTTTTGCAATAAAATAATGTTAACCCCCCCATGCAATGTAAATCAATCACCTTCTTTTGTTACACATAAAATATGTTAATTTCAACACTGACATTACTAAAATGTGATGATACATGTGTAATCTGGGCTCAAGTGCACCTGATTCCAAATTAAATGAAGTGTCATTCATTGGATGAATAAACATAATATTCATAGTTGAAACGGTTACATTTAAACTGAACTCTAAGCATGACAGGAATGCTAGGAACTAAAATGATTATTCCAGAATGATTGTTTAGGCTCTTCACAAAAATTTGAAGCAAAAAAAAGACATAAAATAACTCTTCCCAAATATACATTGATATATGGCAAAAACAAAGCATGACATTTCATATCAAATGCATTTCATGTTGATACTGTGGCTTTATATATGAGATATTATTGTTTTAACTTCCAGGTGAATATTGGATTGATCCTAACCAAGGTTGTTCTGGAGATTCCTTCAAAGTGTACTGTAATTTCACAGCTGGTGGTGAGACGTGCATCTATCCAGACAAAAAATCTGAGGGAGTAAGTACCAGTCTGTTTGGTGGTGGATGTTGACAGTTCCTGCCATGTTTTTGCAATATTGAGCTAAACAGGAAAATTATACTGTCGTATTTTCATTTATCTGCTTTTCTTACAGGGTAATTAGAACATTTCATTTGCATAAACATGAATAAAGCACCAAACTGATGCACACAGTTTACAGACACTTCTTTCCTTTATTTTTTTTTTTTTTACCCAGATGTATTCTTTAAGCACCTGGTTGCTCTCACAAATTCTATGGCTTTCCATGACACAGCACAGCTGACTCTCAGATCTTAGAGTGTGTATGGGAGTCTCTGCCCAATAGAACTTGCAGCTGCATATTATGCTCGAAGTGCAAAATTTTGTAAAATATTAATCTCCTCTTTAATGCCAACTTTACATGTATTTTGAATATTTGGTCTCACTGAAGAAATTCCTTGATTTTAGCTCACGGTATTTGGACACTGGCAATGTATCTCTGAAGATACATCAGTATGAAGAAGTGCATTGAACTGATATAATTATATTTTTCTGATTTTTTTATAAGTAGGACAAGATTTATTTTTTCAGTTGATAAATCTCATTTTTCTTAGCAAAAGGGTGGGGAGCAGGGGATGGAAACTACTTCAGAAAAGTAGCTAATTTGAAAACATTTGATGGTTCAGGCTTTTCTCTTGGAGAAGACATATAAGAGGTCTTACTTACACAAGACATAAAAATCACTTACATAATTTCTGTTTCCTAATAGCCTGTAACATTATTTTTGAGTTAGTCTCTTCCTTGTCTCCATTTTTAGCCAGAAAATGTATCAGGAAGCAAATGACTCAGTCTTCATACCATGAAAATCACAGGATCTAGCTTGAAGTTTGCTCAGATCTCACTTTGTATAAAGTGCAGCCCATGGGATGTGGAACACTTTTTTGCCCTTAATATGATTAAAAATTTCCAATATATATGTGAGCAATGCTATTCATCCTTTTTCCCATTCTTTCACAACAGGTAAGAATTTCATCATGGCCAAAGGAGAAACCAGGAAGCTGGTACAGTGAATTTAAGAGAGGAAAACTGGTATGTTGTTTCTACCACATGCAACAAAAGCTCTAACTGCTTAGTAGAATCTCCAATTATGCGTCCTCAGAAATTTAATGGCATAGCACAAATGATGCTAAGCAGCACAGTTTCTGATTTGCCACTGTGTGAGAGTTTAGACACCAATAGTATCTTAAAGCCTAAAGATTGGAGTCAAAATAACCAAAAATTTTTCTGAAAAAGAAATAAGTGTGGTCAAATAAAAAAAATCAGTTTAACATCATACACTATTTTATTCTAAAAGTAGCAAGAATCAAAACACAGCACCTATTTAATATCTCATACTCCACCTATTTCAATTTCTGTCTGCTTGAAACCCAATTATTCTTTGTTCCTCATTTCCTTAAGAACTTAAGGAATTTCAGATTTTTTTCCCTCGTGTATAATTTCAGGTATAAACTAAACCAATTGACCATTCATTTATATGAAACCCATTTTTACTTTAGTATTTTTATATGATAACAAATTCAACTTAATAATTTGCCAAAGAAAATGTAGGATTAAAGCCCTAATAAAATTATATTAAAAGCTGCTAAAATATGAATTTTTAATTAATTAGGAATTTCTCACTATTCCTGGTATTTAATTACTTAATATTTTAAATGGTAGTGACTTATACATTTAGTCTCCTTACCTACATACACACCCATCCACATTAAGTAATGACTTGTAATGTAGTTCCACCTGACTTAAACTTTTCTAGTTGCTCATCAAGTTACATGGTAAATATCTATTGTTCATTTTCATCTCTATGAGGTACACTATACCTATTTAGAATGTGTGTATTAATTTTATTTAACTTTTTTTTACTTTGTGTAAAGCACAACTCAAGTATATTCTCAACCTCATAAGAATCACCATTCTAATTTGTCAATTAGTAAGGTTAAGTAACTGAATTTTGAAAGAGAAATAGATTTGCATGGTCTCAATCTACTGTCTGAATGGCTTTTAAATTTGGACTATATACTTTATGAGAGCACAGATATTTCAATCATGCCAAATAAAATAATTGATAAAGACATTACACAACAATAACTTGCAGCTAAGAATATCATCCTTATGTAATAACAAAGTTATTGATGCAAATATTGACTGAAATTTTCTGTGGCACCATGTTTGATGATGTTGATTTAAAAAAAGGTATATGTTATCTGAAAATGGACAAATTGACATCTATGCTAAGAAACAAAAGCATCATAGAAGACTATGGTCCCTGGGACATGGTTATGGTTTCAAGTAAAGTAGATGTATTACAAAATTTCTGAAACTCAAACAGTATAAAAACCAACATTAACTTCACACCAAGATTTCTCGATTTCTCTTGTTTTACTATCTTACTAACTAAGAGATGCATAACGACACTGAAGTATCTACTGGAGACAGAACATTTGTTTTCTTATAGTACTTACTGATTAGAAAACGAAAATGAAAAAATTAGAATTTGTCATAATTATAAGCTGTATTGTAGTAACTGAGGTTTGGGGGTGAGGGAGTCACAATGTTCTTAGCCAAGCCCCTAACTCTGGTTCAAATCTCATTTCTTCATAAAGTGTTAATATTCCATTGAGTTAATATTCATAAATTAACTTCATAAAGTGTTAATATTCCACTGGCAGCAACATTCAAGGCCAGTGGTTAATGCTTTATATCAAGAAAGAAGAGTCCCCATGATCTTTTTCATTGTTTTCTTCCCAGCTTTCATATTTAGATGTGGAAGGCAATTCCATTAATATGGTGCAAATGACATTCCTGAGACTCTTGACTGCTTCTGCCCGACAAAATTTCACCTACCATTGCCATCAGTCAACTGCATGGTTTGACATGTCATCTGCAAGTTATGACAAAGCACTTAGGTTTCTGGGATCTAATGATGAGGAGATGTCCTATGAGAACAACCCACACATCAAGGCATTGTATGACGGCTGTGCGGTGAGTCCAGTCTCAATCTGCCTTCATTCCTGGGTGTGCTTGAGAGGCAGTGCGGATAGCCTCAGTGTGGTCCAAAGCCAGATGTCTCACTGCAAATGGATATCAATTAGCATTAATATTTAGTGCACATCAGTGACATATTAAGATAAAGCATTTTAGAAACCACTAAGGAACACAACCAACACAACACACACACACAAACACACTAATACTCTTAAATATATACCTAAACATCTCATTTTGAGGATGAAATAGAAGATAATATTAGAACATGTGTTATTGTGTCTACACCCAGTGTTTGAGAATATTACCAAGTCACTCAGATAAAAAATTAAAAACACCATAATAGTTCCCTAAATCCCTGATTTTAAAATGACAGAGGACCTGTCATTATGTCATTTAAAGAACAGATGATTTTTATGCCTCTTCTTTGGAAAGATCAACAGATCACCTTTAGAGCTACTATTTTTTTTGCCCCCTCTGGAAAGAAAAACAAGACTGATCCAGTCCCCTGAATACTAGCTTTAGAGCTACTATTTTTTTGCCCCCTCTGGAAAGAAAAACAAGACTGATCCAGTCCCCTGAACATGGATGTCAATAAGGAGGCCCCTGCACGCCAGGGAGCCTCTGGTGGTGGATTAATATTTTTCCCTGGTGAAAGAAGGGACTTTGAGAGCCCATCCCATGTGAAGGGTTCCATTCTGGCCCTGGACACATGCAGAAGGGCCCAGGACCAGCACAGGAAGATTTGGTGGACTTTTCAGAGCCCCCGTTGAGGGCCCTACCCTGCCTGGGTAGTTGTGGGTGGACTGGGGGTGGGGGACGAGGGATGGGGGTAAGGGGAGGGAGAGGGAGAAGGGACTTTCATGACAAACAAGCTTCTTCCCTAACTAGAACTAATAAATAAATTTATAAAAATTTAAAATATGGGAATTCCATATCCTAGCTAATGCTTCAGCTTAGTGTTAATGACTAGAGACTTCTAAATTGCAAGCAACCAAATTTGTGATTTTACCAAAATGAGTGTGGTCCAAGAGGAACAAAGTAGAGAAAATAAGTGAGTAAGGCAGAGGCTACGAAAAAAATCCCCAGGGTTTCCACTGTTTATAGAATTAAAATGCAGTACTAGAAATGTTCTGACTATTGTTTTATTGATTTGTTGATTTATTGATTTTGTTGATTTGTTGATTTATTGATTTGTTACCACTCTAGTTGATGGTGTGAACCTTGGAGAATGAAGCATAAAAATGAGGCAAACTAAAGGGTCATACAATGGCCAACTTTATTTGGAGCATGAGACAATTTATATTGGATTAAGCAAGGTCAAATGAGCAAGTTCACATGAGTTCAACCTGTAAAGAAACTCAACGACAGGATATACTTGGAAATATTTTTGAATAATTTTGGACATGTGCAGTAAGCTGCACTGTACATTCTAAGGCAAACCCAGTCTAATGTACTACACCTGGGAAATGGCATGAACACACATTCCAAGAACAAACGCATGATTGGGAGGAACAGATGTCACAAGACTCTTGTCTTGTTTTCTTGGAGTTTTCTCACAAGCCCTCAGAATTATCCTCATACAGCTCCATCCTTGGACCATGTAGTGACACACTTTATTCTGATTTCTCATAAAATTATTTAATTATGTTTTGCACCTGTATATCTAAAGTAGTAAGGTTTTCTTATTTAATATTGAATAGAAGCATTGCATATTAAATTCTGTGTTTTTAACCCAGATCCGTTTTAACCATGAATAATTGAGTAATTGAAATAATATAGCAAGTATAATTGTCAGCAAAGTTTAAGACTTCATGTGACATCTGTGGTAACAAATGAATTCTTACAGATTTCTCAATGGCCTCTTGTCTCTCACTTTCTTAGCTCAGATTAGATAGTTAACAAAGAGAATAACATGAATTTTAATAATATTAACAGATGACATAACTTTAATTTTCTGCTTAATTTTACAGTCCAGAAAAGGCTATGAAAAGACTGTGATTGAGATCAATACCCCGAAAATTGACCAGGTACCCATCATTGATGTAATGATCAATGATTTTGGTGATCAGAATCAGAAGTTTGGATTTGAAGTCGGTTCAGTTTGCTTTCTTGGCTGAGATTTGGATGAAGAGTGTGAAACCAACAGAAAATACTTGTAACCAACCCAATTCATGCCACATGCAAGTTTTGAATAAGGACAGTAGGAAACATGTGTTTAGGAGTCACTGATGCCTGCTGGAGGCACAGTGAGAAGGAAGAAGTTTGATAGTAGTAACAATGTAAGATAGTGTGGCTGAGATGGCAACAGGGCTGATTCTTGATCGAAACCATCATCTCTCCTTTCCTATTTGGATTTCTTTGGTGCTGTAGAAAAAAAGAAGAAAAGAGAAAACTATATATTCATAAAAAATTCATGGTGCTCATTCCCATCCATCAAAGATATAGTGAAAGTGTTTAATAAATTGTAATTATTTTATGTACAGTTCTACACTGTCATTCATGTGTCCATTTCCAAAACTTGCACGTGACTGAATCCCACCTAGCTCTAACTTCATGGCCATTGTGGAACTGTGGTGACAATAAATAATAGTGTTACAAAGACTGAAGCTGTAATTTCTGATGACTCTAATTCCCTTTCTTTGATTAATAATAAAATGCCTTTGTATATGTTGATGTTGAAGAGTTCAGTTATTTGATGTCACTAACAAATTACACAGAGGGCCAAACCCAGACATTCAGGAGCACACACCACATTAGCTCTTATTTGCTGAATGTAACTTGTTTAATTTCAGCCAAAAAAATCACGTGTTTTAATGCTTAATTCAGTGCTATACCTCAAATATTTTCTTCTCAGAACCCAGATTTCACAGGATACTTGTATATATGGAAACGAGAAAGTTTATATTTTTGGACAGGAACATATGTATGAAAAACTATTTTAACATCCACCCAGTAAATAACTTTATGTTCAATTATTTCTCTACTTCATCTTCTCTCATCTCCAGTATGCTTAAAGCCAACTAATACTAAACTAGGCAAATGTTTGCAGATCTGTGCAATGTTAGAATTTTGAACAATGAACTTTTTGGGTCTGATATAAGTGGAATAGTAATAACAATCCCAAATATTATTTTATTTGCCCAAAAAATACAGCTCCTTCCTTTCTAAGATAATTATATTCAAAGTTTGACCAGCCTAGTAGCTAAATACATATGGGTGGGCTGCTTTGAAAGGCATATTTATTCAAACTAGTCAAGCCCCTCCTTTTCCCACTAAGGTATTGTCTTTCACATAGCTTGAATTAGCAGTAAAACTTTAAAAATCACCAACTGAACTTTGTATCTATTTTAAATAATATATGTAAGACTTGAAAATAAATGTTTTATTATAATTTCTTTTATGAAGTGTTAAATTAATTGATACCAGATTCCTCTGGAACATTTATTAACTGATAATTTATCAAAAAGAACATAATCTGTAATATTGACATTTAAAAGTGAACATTTGTAATTCAGAATTTCGTTATTTCTGAAACCAAGTTTGTAAATGACCTTTGGAGGAGGGAGATATGAATTTTATCAATAAATCAAGTCTTGTCTACCTGGATTGGTCATTTTCTTTCTTAAACAGGTTGCAAATCACTCTCTTCTATAGAAAGGCTTTTGATTGTCATACTTGACCATCCAGATGAGATTTCTCTAACACTTGCATGTCACTCCTCAAAGAAAAGTTCTCAAATACATAATTTAGTAAGCAATGCGTGGCAATACTATATTGCCAAGAAAATAAGTTATATTTAGTATTTCAAAAAGATTTTCACAAGCCAATGTTTTACAAAGTCTCAAATGTGTTCAAGATTTCAGAACTGAAAATATTTTCCAAGCATTTAAAAGAATTAAAATCACAATAAAATAATATTTGTTTATTAAGAAAGGCTTCATACATCAGATAGCTTCTGAGTCAATGTATATCAATGAGATATTATGTTGCGTATCAACTCATGTCAAAATAGTTGTCTTTTTAAATGAAATAAATTTGACACCTAAGAGAATGAATGCAGAAATAACTATTCTTTTCTCATATGGATGTTTTGTCTACAGGACAACAGGATATATTTTCTCTTCCCTATGATTGAGTTATCTGGAAATAAATAACATTCCAGTATGCAAATCACATTTACCAGATGAAATTTGAATAAGTGTAAGCTATTGGAATAGAAAATGCAGATGACCATTTTCATCTTTCAGGAAGAATGGGTCACAGCCTAGCACAGGACTTTGAGCACAATTCTCTATCAGAAGTTAAATCATAAGCCCAAAATAAAGTGACAAGGGATTATTTGCAATGAATCAACATATTTCATCAAAATTTGTTTTATCATATAATTTAGAAAAATGATTATTAATTAACTCTTAGATATACTTCAATGATACCTGAGTTATCTATACACCACACATTTACACACATACAAACACACCATACACATTTAACAAATACACACACACCACATCTCTTTAAGAATTTCTCACAGGAAAACTATATAATTGATAGAAGACATTTCTCCAGTATATACATTAAAAACAATGTGTTCCACTTCTTACCTTGTTTTGGTATTAGAATCTGTTAGGGTTGTCTTTAAAACTTGAGTGTACTCCAGTAAAATTTATTCATATGTGAACATAGAATTTGCCAGAATTTTTCACCCAAGAGATTCTGCTTTTATACATTTTGAATATTCTTTCTCTATAGCTTGAGGAATCACAAAACCACCATGGTAAAACCATGACCTTCTAGTCACTAGACCTTCTAGTCATGCTGACATGGTTGCTGATGAGATTATTGAGAAAAGATGAAAGCATCAATATATGTATAATTTATAGAATGTTTTATAATTGCATACATCTCTGTGAAATTATTATACAAATGTCAAATGAGTAACTCATAACTGAACACCTTCCCAGTGATGAACACCTTCCCATCTTCTTCTATACCAAATGAAAGGATGTCAAATAAGAATTCAAAGGTAGTTTTCTAAACTGACTACATGGTAAAAATGTCATATAAACCAACAATTTTTTTCAGGAACCTTATATGTTTTTAAATAAAGCAGTTATGGAGAATGGTCTTAAAATTTAGGGTTTTTTTTTCCTTTAATTTCACAGTCTTCTGAATTCAGGATAATTTCACGGTATTAACTAAACATCTATGCCATGTTATCTAAACAGTAGTAGCTGCTGTAGATTTCCTGCTGTTACTATTATCACTGCAGTATCAGTTTCTGACATGTAGCCTAGAATACTCACACATGATACACACAGTCTGGAACTTCTATAAATATTTTCTTGTTTGAAGTGAATCCTTTTACATAGACCCAAACTAGCAAAGTCTCACCTGTCAGATAAGAAACAACGTACAACACCATCAAATGTGTCACAGGCCATGTTAATATGCAGCAAGTCCAAACTCAGAAGAAAAACCTCCTCACATCACTCTTCCTTGTACCAGGATGGTTTTCTTTCCAGAAGGATGAGTTTAATAGGTTCAGAGCTCTCTCAACTTCTATACTTGGCTCATTCAAACTTCTGGCACTGGCTGTAAGATTAGCCATAGCTTAATGCACTTTCAGCCCAGAGAGCCATGAAGATTTCAAGGTGATTTACTGTGAAGGAAATGCCAGGAAAAAAAAAATGTCCCGCATACAACATTACTAGTTCAGTAATTACCACCTACCAACCCCTGTAGAATCCTCAGTTATTGCTTTTCTAAGTCCAGCTGTCAATAATGAGGATATTTGATCAGGACAAAACAAAACAGAGTGGCAGAAAAGAGTTACAGAAACATGGTTAACTTTTCTCTTTGACAACCACAAATTGCAGTCATATCTGGAATGGTTTTTCACTATAATGAGGACTTATTTAATAGCATCCTTTCAGTGGCAGGTCTGCCTGCAGGACTGTTGACAAGAAAACAGACAAAATACACAACCCTATTTACAAATTACCTTTCTATGTGTATAATTAAAGAGGTAGACATTGTTTCTACCCATAAGAAAAAGATTTCTTTTTTTATAAAATGATAAGTAAAACATGTCCTTATACCTCTTCTGTCCACTGGCATTCAATCACACACTGTGAGCAGACAGTAATCACTAAATTCACTAGTATTTAAAGCTTCTCTTCTAAACAGAATATTTGCATGTTTTCCTCCAGAAGGGAATAGTTCTAGAGTACAAAAAATATATATATCTGAAAAGAAAAATAATTCTTTGACCAAACCTATGTGTGTTTAACCTTAAATTTAGTGGAACAAAGATATACAGTGGGAAAAGTTAGTTATAGAAATCACCAAACAGCTTTGTGCAAAAATGAGTAACTGGACCCTTAAAAATCCAAGCTTGGGTACCTCATCTACTTCAGGAAAATAACAAAAATATATTTTAATTTTTAAAATAATAACAAATCTCATATCTTTGTGTATGTATAAACATTTTACCTCAAAGCATGATTAGCTCAAAAGCATATCCAATACAAGTTTAAAAAAAATAAAATTGCAACTGGAAAGAGGCTAAGCAATTCAGGGATTTTTCTATCCATACAGAGGACTTGAGTTTGGTTACCAACACCCAATAACTCACAATAACCTGTAACTCCAGATCCATGGAATAGATCCTTGGGCTATTTCTAGGCTCCCTGGGCACCTACACATACAGACATATGCAAACACACATTAATAAAAATAAAAATAAATAAACAACAGTTTTGATATTGACCTTGAAAGAATTGTTCTTTTTAAAGAATGGTTTATCTGCAGTGTGATAAAGCTGTAGAAATAAATTTTATCAGTTGTAATGATGAGATTCCTGACACATTTGAGACAGAAGTTCTAAAATTCTAGAAATATCATATTTCATAGGTGATTTGCATATGCTGAAGATAAATGCTGCCTTTCGTGCCAAATTGTGGTTTGGTGTCTCAATTATGACTTGTCTTTGAGAATAAGCCACAACAATATCCACTCATGTCTTCGAATTAGTTCTCTTTACAAAAAAATCTTCATCTGTACAACACAAGAAGAGATGAATCATCAAATAAACATAAAATGTTACAGAAAGATCTTCAAGCTAATTCTAGGTAACTTCATTCAAGCTTGGCATCTGGAACAAGCTCAGTGGAAGGCAATGCGAATCCTCGCCAGCTAGTATGTAAGCTTCTCAGCAAATCCTCAGTGATGCAAATCTCTCAGAATCATACACATTGTTATCAGAAACATTAGTGTTGCTGAAGTCTCTGAGTTGTCTTTAAGTAGCACATCTGTTCAACAAAAGAAATGACTTCTTGAGATGTGTGTGTATTTGGAGAGTCAGAACACCCAGTCAATTGAAGAAATAAAACTGTGTTTATACTTCATCATTTTCTTTGCACTCACTCATTTATACATTAAAGTCCTTGTTGTATTGAATTCTTTGTCTGAGAGGAGCCGTATGTAATAGTTTCAGGAAGTTTGGGGAATGGAGAACATTAAATTAGCAATGAATGCCTTTCACTGACAAACATATAGGTCTTATTATTAGCCTTCATATATAAAAAACCTAAATTAAAACACTAAATTGAAAAATAATTATCATGGAGTTTTTTGTCTATATTTTCGTTGTTTTCTGTATTCAGCTAGATTCCTTCTGATTGTTTTCTGTGCATTTATCATATCCTGGAGAACACTTATCAAGTGACTGGATGTATTTTGACAAACCTTCAGGACTTAAAAATGGCTTCTGGAAGATGCTCACTTGAACTGCACAAGGGATAAATTCATATCCTCTTTAAAGAGCAGAGGGTTAGGTAGGGATAGGGAAATAATCCAGGTAAGAGCACTTGCTATACAAGACTTGACACCATGTGCCTGACTATTTCCACCCCTTTATCCCACATAAACATGCCTTACATTTTCATTTAAACCTTGTCTGTCATCTCAAGCAAATCCCAGTCCTTAAATGTCTTTTTGTCCATGCTTATTCAAATTTTATTTTCACTATGTTCAGCTTTACATTTCATTAAAATTTTGCTACTATTAAATTCTCCATTACCAGTAGAAACCACCTTGAGTGAGGTAACGCAGTCACAACAAGACAAACATGGTATGTATTCACTCATATATGAATTTTAGACATAGAGCAAAAGATTACCAGCCTACAATCCTCTTCACCAAAGAAATTAGGAAACATGAAGTACTCTAGGGGATAAATGCATGGATCCCAGGAATGGAAAGGGGCAGGAACTCCTGAGCTAATTCGGAGCATGAGGGTAGGGGAGAGGGAGCTGCCAGAATGAGAGCAGGAGAAGAGGAGAGGAGAGGAGGAAATGGAGGAGCAGGAATACTGAGCTGGGGGAAGAATAGAGGAGAGCAGGATGAGAGATACCATATTAGAGGGAGCCA